GGCAGACCATGGTCTCTCGCTTGCTTTGAGCAAAACTGAGATCGTGATATTAACAAAAAAACGGATCGACACCATCGTGCCGTTGAGGGTAGGGGCCGTCGAAGTCCAGACCGTTCGTTCTGCCAAGTACCTTGGGGTTATGGTGGACGGCCAGCTTAGCTGGCGGTATCTGATTTTCCGTACGGCGGACAAGGCCGCTAGGGTGGTTTCCTCTCTTAGCCGGTTGATGGCCAATGTCGGAGGGCCTTGGTCCAGCCGTAGAAGGCTGTTAATGTCTTCTGTCCAGTCCGTACTCTTGTACGGTGCAGAGGTGTGGGCAGACGCTCTCAATAAGGAGGTATATAGGATGCGGCTCGCCAGAGTGCAGCGTCAGGCAGCACTAAGAGTTGCATCCGCCTACCGAACAGAGTCCGAACCCGCCGTCCTGGTGGTTGCTGGAGTCATCCCCGTCAAACTTTTGGCGGGGGAGAGAAAGGCAATTTATCAGCACCGTGGGGAGGACCAGGCACGAACAGAATAACGCACCCGCACCTACCAGCTGTGGCAGGAGAGCTGGGAACGGGAGACTCGGGGACGCTGGACCAGGCGACTGATACAGCAAGTCCAACCTTGGGTTAATCGGCGGTGCGGAGAGGTGGACTCTACCTCACCCAATTTCTGACGGGTCATGGCTTTTTCCGGTCGTACCTGTTCAGGATGGGCAAAGCCGTGTCACCCGATTGCATATACTGCCCAGGCATTCCCGATGACGTGGAACATACTATTTTCCACTGCCAGCGTTGGGAAAGGCCCCGCCTGGAGGCTCAACAGTTAGTAAGACTGCTGTCAGTGGTCACGGTCATACCGATGATGACAGAGGGTGAGGACAGTTTGACCTGTGTGTCACATTACATCCAGGGTATTCTCCGCGCCAAGAAGTTCGACCTTGACCGGGATGCAGTGTAGGTCATAAAGTATCTAAATGCCAAAAACTGTGAGAGCCCTGAGGGCTTAGGTCACATGTTGGCCTGACTTGAAGAATTGTGACAAACAATTCCAGGTCTGTGTCCAACAGAGTAGAGGGGTTTTTTTAGTGAGTCGTCTGTGTTAGATTCGGGAGTCTTACACAACAGGCTGGCTACCTGTGTGCGTAAAAGCATTTTCACTCCTCTCCTTTGAAAAAAAAAACCATTAGCTATAGTCTAATACCTGTTAGCTTACTGTACTCATACATTTTAGCAAAACTCGTGTACCTAATATTATTTACCTACAGCCGATTTTTAAAGTAGACGTTTCAGTTCAGTTAACTTAGAATTGAAAAGTTTCTCATAACAGAATTGTTTACTTTCATAACAGCATATCTTAGTTTTACTTATATAACAACACAGGCCAATAACGGACCAATGAGGTTCAAGGATTGAGAGAGAAGAAGTAAAATTGTAATGATTCGAACTTGAACTAATCAGCCGTTCAAGCCAATTTAATTGTTGAGTGGTGCAATTTTTGTGTTTGGTACAATGTTTTGTCTCATCACTGCCAGTGGCAATGGGAGGTTATAAACAAAAACATAACCTCTCTTAGAAGTTATGAGTACTGATTTTTAGCCTAATTAAAACACTGTCCTAGGTAAAGTAGTGTACAGGCAACTCGCTTAAATTGTGTTAACGACACTCGAAATTTAGAAGTTTTTAAAGCACTTGCCAAAGCATATACTAGCGGTTAATACACACATTTAGGGATGTCCTAATGACCACCTTCAATTTTCTAACTTACTCATGACGTTAACAGTTATCTTTACGCATTTGTTACGTAAACTAGGCTACTATTTATAAAAAACCAAAACCAATGCACTAGCATGTTAGTAATAATATCAGGTAACATAACTTAATGGTAAAAGTTAGGCTATTTTATTTTATTTTGTCATTTCAATCCACAGAGTTTGAAGAAAAACTTAGCCGGCCAAAGTAAGTTAAACTTACGCCTAATATAAGTTTAAGTTAGGCCTAGAAGTTATGTTTATTTTCTGTAACATCCGTTAAGTACCGCAGTTAGGGACTATTCCAGAAAAAGTTAACTTAAATGAATTTGCAAGAATAAAAAGGATTTACTTAGGCGTAAGTTAGGCTATAACTTATACAGTGTGTAAATTAAGTATTGAAACAAATATGTATTTTTTAACCGAAATAGATAGAAATATTCTGTTTTTGGCGTTGATTGTTAACAAAGGCTCCGTAATTTTTTACATCAAAAATAGTTTTTACCCCCCTAACAGGGTAGGGGTAGGGGGTGACTTATTTTTTTCGACTTATTTTTTTCAAATAGCAACCCCCTCATTTTGAAGGTTTTGTCAAAAGAAACACAATGACGCGAACCCGAGGTGGATATCTCACCCCTAGCCAAAATGGCAGGTAATCCAAAATTTGATTTACTGTATGTGAAAAAGCACCAATTTCACAAATATGGAAACAAATTTGTATTTTTAAAACCGAAATAGATAGAAATATTCTGTTTGTGGAATTGATTGTTGACATAGGTTCCGTAATTTTTTACTTCAACAATATTTTTAAACCCCTTTAACAGGGTAGGGGGTGGGGGTGATTTATCTTTTTAAATAACAACCTCTATTGAGTGACCCCTCATTTTGAAAGGGTTTATCAAAAGAAATACAATGGCACAAATCCTAGGTAGATATTTCATCCCTAGCCTAAATGGCGGGTATTCCAAATTAGATTTATGTGAAAAAACACCCATATTGGAATACCTGCCTGCCATTTTGGCTACAGGGGGGAGATATTCACCTCGGGTTTGCGTCATTGTGTTTCCTTTGAAAAATGAGGTGTCACTCAATAGGGGTTGCTATTTTTAAAAAATAAGTCACCCCCTACCCACTACCCTGTTAGGGGGTAAAAAAATTTTCTTTTTGTGTAAAAATTGCAGAACCTTTGTTAAGAATCAATGACTTAAACAGAATATTTCTATCTATTTCGGTTTAAAAAATACAGATTTGTTTCAATACTTAATTTACACACTGTATCTTATTATATTCATAGAGGATACGCGTCCGGTAACCGGACGTGGATAAGGCGTCCGGCAAAGACGTCACTGGGTTGTGGGAGCCTGGAACGCCATTACCACAACGATACAATGAACAGCCATCAGTGTTAGTGGTGTACCGGTAGTGGATAAGGTGCTCGGCTGATTTACAAGAGGTCCAGGGTTTGAATCTCATTGGTGACTTTAACTTTTTGTCGATGATTTTGCTTTGAACACTATTTCTTCTTAACTGTACCTACATCTTTTGTTAGAATTTTTGGCATTATAATTTTTTTATATGGACAGAATTTAACATTCATTCGATTTTTCCATTATCAGCAAGTTTAGTTGGTTAGGCTAGGTTATGACAGTAATTGCCAGACGTCTAATCCTCCGGTTACCGGACGCGTATCCTCTGCCTATCAGTTTAGTTTCACCCATAAATAATATGCTTGAGGTTTTAACTTAAATAGGCCTTTAAATTTTTGGTTGTTTTGACTATTTTAGCGGAAGTTAGGCTATGAATCTAACACTACAGTGGTAACTTAGTTAATATGGAATGCCTCCTAGTCGCAATATTGCAATGTCACTCCCAAGTCCTTGCTCTTAATAACGACTAACTTAAGGTAAACATAGCCTATTAAATACCGCACACCCACCAAATACCGGACTCGTCGAGTTTCGTCTCAAATAATAAGCATATGCTTCATCTGATCAACACCAACTTAAGATAAATGCATTTGTTGGCTTTTAATTTGTCTGCAGACAAATGAGTTTGTAGATCGTCATTGGCCACTAGATCCAGTGAGCCGTGATTGGTCATGCTGTACACAGTTTTCGCAAATTTCTAAAATCTCTTGTCCGTTTCCTTAAGAAAACAGTTGAGTTTCTTAAGGCTTTAATAACTATACCTGCCAATTTGTGATAAAGTACAATTGTTAATATGATTATTTAAATATTTTTCTGTCATTGTTCAAAAATGTGCAAGCTTGCATTAGGCTACTTACTTAAATATCGTTATTTCATTATGTGTTACACCTACTACCGAATTTAATTGTGCAAAAACAGTCTGGAAGTTGCATAAATTAATGAGTTCATTTTAACCTAACCTTTACCTTCCTAATCTAACCTCACTTCAAAACACTTGATACAGTCACGAATCCGCATAAAACCCGACCTACCTTCCTCACATGCCTAAATAAGAACTGATTATTTGGTTCCAAAAATCAAAAGGAATTGTTTTGATTTCATTCTGCATTAACTTAGAACAAGTAGCCTATAAACAGTTGTTTGCTCTTTTACTCAGTCCTCCTCACTCCTCACTAAGTCAGTACAGACCCGTCCAGTCCAGACCACGCCATATTACCATTACCTTCAATACCGCTCAATTATTCTTAGATTCGTAATCCTAACCTTCGTTTTACGGCCACTACGGCAACTAAGAAATCTCTCCGACAAAAACTGTTTCATTTTTGGATTCAGCGTTAAAAATACTGTAAGTAGACATATAAAAATTACATCATATCCCAATGTAAATACAGTAAATATTTGCCCCCTACCCAATAATATGACTGACAGTTGGAGGGTTAAGTTAAAAAATGGCAACAAACAACTTGACTTAAAACGACGTAAATAATTCATTTCGACAACATGAAAAACAGATTAGGCAAGACTGTCAGCTGTTAAGTCCTCAACTAATAGGCCTAGGTGTAGGTGACAACATTCAAGGCCCAGTTATCTTTGGCAATAAATTACGTTAATAACAATTTTAAGATAAAAGCATCAAAGAAAACCTTTCTAGGACTATTTATTTTGTTGCTCTGCTTTACATTAATATCACATAATAATCTGAGTGATTTTGGATCACTACATTTTGCGAAAACATCAAGGCGGACCAATAAGATAAGGAAATAACTGTTTCCTTAAATTCACACTCCTAATACATTTCCTTGAAACTATTGATTAATTAATATGAATGAATGTATTACCTGCAAATTGACTTGTAAAGCGATGCCCATTACAAGGTAATAGTATGGGGAGGATAATTGAAGCAAACGAATTAATTAATACGAAAACTTTCAATACAATACTACACTACTCCATCTTGAAATCTTGAAGTTGAACACTTAATACTTACCAGCAGTGTTGCCACCGCGTTGTTGCGATTTTACCCTAAAGGCGGGCTAAAATTACCCTAAATTACCCTAAATCTACTTTGAGTTACCCTAAAAATTACCCTAAATGTTAATATTTGCGTTTAATGCTATAAAACATTGTTAAAATCATATAAATCTTACATAAGGTGGTTAATTATACTAAATGAAGTTCCAATATCAATCAATTTTACGTCAAATTATTCTCGATTCTAAAACACCATTCGAAAGAAGAACAAAATGCTGATATTGATCAGCTCTATCGACTATCGTATAACGAAAAATATCGAATCAAGAATTATCGTATTTTTTTACTGTATCGACCCATTACTACTGTTTTTGGTCAATCATATCTTTAAAATACAGTACGGTACCACCAAAGCTTAAATCTATACATAGTACAAATTTCTTAACACAATTTGTAAAATAATCCAGTTTAAATCAATTCAATCACATAATTAAATATCAAACCCAGTAACGAATAATATTTCATATTTTATTAGGCCTATAACGTGTTATAGAATCGAATACATTCTAAAACAGATAATTCCCATTAAGATCGATTAGGATAACTTATTATGAAAAATTCATTATAGCAATCGATTTAAACCGGTCGAATCGAATATGGTGGTTTGGCCATTGTATGTAAAGAACGTTTTCCTACAGTTACCTAACAATGTACATGTTCTCTCACTGATTTGAGAAAGCAAAGTGGCCAATTCGCTCATCAGTGAGACAATGTTAACATTGTCTCACTCTAATTACTTTGTCTCACTCCAGATTTGCAACGTGAAGGCACGAAATAGTGAGCGCGTAACATGCAGACAAGGTCGCATGCGCGCGAAATACGTTGGCAGCACTGGCTGTAAATCAGCTGGTCAGCTGTTGTACTGTTGTATTTGTCACTTCGCATTAAATGTTATGTTAAAAAAGTTCACTTCTGTGTAAAAATAGGTTATGTTTCTTCACCAATTTATTTGTTTTATGGTAACTGTAGGAAAAGTATAATGTGCAACTCGAGTTCAAAGTACAATTGCCTCACTCGAGAAACCATTCCTCACTCGCCTACGGCTCGTGAGTAAGGATTTCTCTCGAGTGAGTCAATTGCTCACTTTTCTCACTAGTTGCACAAATAACTATTTTTGCCAAATTTTTAAGTTTTTTCATTTTTTTAGTAAAATTTCCATTGTTATGCTAACTTTTAGTTTTACCCTAAAATTACCCTAAATCTACCATTACCCTAAACTTTACCCTAAGACCAGTAAATTACCCTAAAAAAGGGTAATTACCCTAAAAGTGGCAACACTGCTTACCAGCTTACCACTTGAATGAATAGTCTTCTTCTCTTCTCTTCACTTCACTCTCTCACTCACTCTCCCACTCTATCTCTCTTTATTTCCTATTTAAGTAGGTACGATGTCATAGCTTATAATTGGGAATTTGTTCCATAGCTTATAGTCGTAAAAATGTGGCATAGCTTCTAATGGTAAATTCAAACTGTTCCATAGCTTATAATCGTAGAAATGTGGCATAGCTTATAACGGCTTTCTTAAAATGTGGCATAGCTTATAATGGTATAGCTCAAATGTGCTGCAGCTTATAATATCTCGTTTGTTCTATAGCTTATAATTTTCAAAATGTGGCATAGCTTATAACGCGCGGGAATGACGTCATAGCGGATGGAACAGCTGATTGATCCTCAGTAAAGAAACAAATTATCGTGCGATGGTCCTCAATAATTATCGTACGGACTGCACAATTTGTTTTTCAGGATTAATTTTGCCAACAGTGTCATTTAGAGGCTTCTGATTGACTATAACGAAGGTTTAGTAATTGAAAAATTATTTTTGTTCATAGAATAAAATTATAAATGCCTCAAATTTAATTTTTATATTTTTTCTTATGCAATTAAACCGTCATAACCTAACCAAACCAACCAAACGTGCTGACAATGAAAAAATCTAATGAAGGTTTATTAATCGAAAAAATAGTTCTGTTCATAAAATAAAACTATAAATGGGTCAAATTCAATTTCATAATGTTTTAATTATAAAATTAAACCGTCATAACCTAACCAAACCAACCAAACTTGTTGATAATGAAAAAAATCCAATACAAAAAATAGTCTTCATTGTAGTTGTTAGCCTCCGGATTGCCAAATAATATTAAAAAAGGTTCAAATACCTGCTATTAAGCAATCCAAATTTGTTGTTAGAACAACTAGTTTCGGTGTCTGTGTGACACCATCATCAGGCTGCACAAGGACAGTTTTCTTTCTTCATATTTACACGAAAAATAAATAAACATTTACAGACTACACAAACACGAACAATAATGCCGATGTGGCCAAACATCGTCTTTTGCCGAACATTTAATATCCCAAGGCCACAATTATACCAACATTAGCAGCAATATGGATATTCTACATTTTTGTAAAGACAGATATAAACTTAACACATTGGAAGAGTTTGAGATATATAAGGCAGTAAAATCCAACCTTGATTCGGAAGTTATCTAGCATTTAGTACCATAATGTACTAAATGACCAACAATTTTTCTCGTCTAATTTTATGTATGACACTGCCATATGTTTACTGGAGAGGGGAGGTGTGATTGACAGGACGCAATCTGGGATGATAAGATAACGGACGCACACCACTGCACTGACCACCCGCAGTCTGGACTCAAACTCCGCCGGGTTAGCGTCGTCTGTTTTCTTAACTGATCAGTTACCATAAATGTCTCGTGTTCGTGTTTGTGTCGTCTGTAAATGTTTATTTATTTTTCGTGTAGATATGACGCTCTTCGTATGAAGAAAGAAAACTGTCCTTGTGCAGCCTGATGATGGTGTCACACAGACACCGAAACGAGTTGTTCTAACAACAAATTTGGATTGCTTAATAGCAGGTATTTGAACCTTTTTAAATAAAAAAAAAATAGTGCTACAGGTGCGATTCGAACCCGGGTCCTTCGGATCATCAGCCTAGCACTCTATCCACTACACCACCGAGGCCGTTGTCATCAACCCAGGGGTGCCCACAGGGGGGTTTGATGTCGCAAAATGCGACATCAGAATTTTATTTGGGGGGGATTTTATGATTTTGGGGGGGATTCAAGCCAGTGGTTGGTTAAAAGCACATAAAAGATTAATCAGATAATTTTTACGACCTCCTTAATTTATTATTGGGGTAATTATGCAATCAAAATCCCGTTTGACATTTTATCTTGATTAATAAATCATTTAATAATTGCTATAAAATATATAGATACTTTTATGTGGATTTCCACTTTCTGACTCTATCATGTTTGACAGTGAGAACAACTCCATGCCAACTGCTGTCAAAGGATTATGGTTGCTTATTAAATTGTATCTGCAATTTGAGTTTGTTTTTACCTTTCATTATGAACTTATTCTCAAATAGTCTCATTGCCTTGAGGACCTATTGATGGGTTTTTAGGTTTGTTTATTATAATATATTCTTGATTCATAAAAAACCAGTATTATGATAATGATAATCATTTTGCTATTTTTACAACATAACAACATGAAAGCTTGTGATAATATTTTGGCTCTCCCAAATAATTATGCCTGGGTCATTTATTCATTGGAAGAAATTGACATACAGTACTGTGACAATTTAATTAAGGTTTTTGATAGGCTATGTGTTTACGTTAACTTCAAGAACTGAAACACATGATCCTCGATTAATTAAATTTTATTTGTTATTGTCTTTTCTTGAATCTAGAAAGAGCTTCAAACAAATTTTACTAGTCTTAGAATAGATATATAATTATTTTTTCACGCCACACTACACTATTTTGACGAACTTCCCATGCAAGGATTTAGTCCAGAAAACAGCTGTTTGTCCTTAATTAAATGGGGTTTCATACAGTACTACTGTACTGTAATGAGTTTTGCCGGACACCAATCAGCTGTTTATACTGTATTTGGGTGGCAATGAGTGGTTATAACAAAAATTTTAGTCCTTTAGTTGGTGGTAATATAGGGATTTGAACGGATTTAGTAGTATGGCGTAAACTATCGTACGTCACTCGTCCAAAATGTGTTGGCCGGACTCGTATTAAAAAAAACCACTACTCGACTTCGTCTCGCACGGGAATCAGGACTAGTAACGTAATATACTATTTTACCACACTATGATGTTTTTAACTGTTTTACATATAGGTACATTAATTGGTGGCTGAAAGTTACGTTTTGTAGGCCATGCCAGCTGTGATCGTCATTTGGGGATCGAGCAGGTTTTTACATCCCTAGGGCCGCAAAATCAGCTGCCCGTTTTAAATACACAATCATTATCCATAGCATTGCAATAGAGTTGTTTTATTGTCACCGCTGACTAGCAACTATTTATTATTATTTTTGCTGATTCCACAAATTATTTATCCACATGACCTTAAAGTTGTAGTTGTGTTGACTATATCAGTGTGCAGTGCATTATTATTGAGGTGAATTAGTGGTAATAGGGTATAGTGTGGGGTGGTGAATAATAGCGTTCGTACCACGGACTGAAATGGTTTTGCAGTTCTCGATCGTTTTAAGTCCTCGACCTCGTATCGAACTTAAAAACTACCTCGAACCAGCAAAACCTCATTTTGGCCCTAGGCACGAAATAAGTTTAGGCCTAGTAATATTTTTGATACTGAATATTTTACACTTATTTAAAAAGGACCAAACTCAGAAGTGGATTAAAGGGCAATTTAGAAAATATCTCAAACTTTTTGACATAACTTCAAGTACTTTCTCCCCTACAATTTAATATGGTAAAATAATTGTTTATGCAAAAACCCTGATCCCAAAAAAGTGGTTTTCGAAGTGATGTGTGTGTCTGTCTGTATGTGTGTATGTATGGTACAGAGCTACAGACCACGCCTGTGGTCCGAGTCCGATTTTGATGAAATTTGGTATTTTAGGTACCAATCCATGGTCTCTCCAGATGT